TCATGTAGATGTGTCCATGTAGATGTGTGTCCATGTAGATGTGTCCATGTAGATGTGTGTCCATGTAGATGTGTCCATGTAGATGTGTGTCCATGTAGATGTGTGTCCATGTAGATGAGCGGTTTTCTCCGGTTTTGATATACACTCTGTCTTCTCGTGTTTCTATACACAGCTTAAACTTACATTCTCCTTGCTTCTTCTTGATAGAGATCGTATGGATCAAGACTTCAAACCATCTGATATTTATGTTACATTTTGAATACGTGATTCTGATATAGTGTGAGATTTCAATTTTATAAGATTGGCCGAGAGTGGGTCTGATACTGTGCAATCCTAAGAGCATTTTCATGCTCACAGTCTGTAATTTTAACCTGGTAGATTCCGTTCCGACTAAATGTAGGTCCCATTATGAGCTCTTAGCAAAACTAACACACTAAATGTGCTGCCGTGATAGTAGAGTAGATATTAATTCTAACAATAACCGTTTAAGACTATCGCCATAGTACTTTTCCGCCAACGTTCCTATCTTTATATATCTCTTTTCTAACTGCTGCCTGGTTTTATCTGAGAAACTCTTAGGCCCAGCTTCATAAAGCTGCACTCACAATATTTAGTCGGTCTATATCGCACAGTATTTATATTTGGAGACAACCCTAAACATGAACGTCTTCAGATAGAAACTTCCTCCACTTGAGCGGTCCTTCTTGATAAGTCAATATCTATTGGGTGCTAAAGCGAAAGAGGGTAGCGCTTGCCTCAAAACGTCGACCCGACACAGCAGTACGAGGAAGGCGTGGTTGTAAATCTCACACCGGCGCTGCAAGAGCTCACCATTTCACATGACATGAGCTATCTGAGAGAGGGAATCTATGAGCTAGCGGAGATTCCCTGACAGGAATCCTATCTCGCTGTGTTCAGCGCCGGGATCGTGGAAGTTCGCCGGCCCAATGTGAACACCCCGGGTCCCCGCCATGAATGTTTTATACGCCAATAATCGGAAAGCGTGCCATTTTGCCGGTACTCCGAGGGAAGTAAAACTCACCCCGCACCGGATTACACTCTAACCGCCCCGCCAGGTCCTCGTCTCAGGCCCAAGCGGTTTATCGAGACAATAAAACGCTGGTTGCACCGAGCCCCCCTGGCTCTCTCTGTCGGCACCCCCTCACTGCCTCACCTCACCACCTCACCTCTGTCGAGATCTATTCTACTCCTATAACGGCTTCTCTCTTAAAATCCTTATGCGTAGGCAATACCACCCAGTCTGCTCATTCTAAATAACCCCCATCAGTCTCTCCACCCCAGCCCCCCTCTAAATATACACACACTTTTCCCTTCCAGATCTCCCCCTCTACACCTCGACCTCTCTTTTCTCCCATGGCGACCTCCAGTATTCAATCAGTGTCATTCTCTTGTGACCAGAGTCATAGAAGAAGCAAGGCAAGAATGAGACACAGTAACTCTATATACATAATAATGAGAATTGATCCATCGGTCTCTTGTCACTTTTCCCCAAAGACTTAAGACAGCTTTCTTTACAACGAGGCGGGCGGATGTGGTATTACGTTCACAGAAATTAGTATACAAGTTATGTCACAAACATAAGTGTATCTTATTGGTCCTGTGGGTCTTCTACCATAATATTCAAATTATCATATTATTTTTTTCATAGTTTATACACATGGTATTATATTTGAGAATTCTCAAACAACTGCACCCCCGGCCCCCTCAAAAAAGAAGAAAAGGAAATAAGAAACCAGAAACGAACGAAACACGCTCCTTTTGACAGGCTGTGCACTGTCGAATTTCTGTTATGACAATAGGTGGCTACATCCATTATTTGTATGTATGTTACATCATCATCATCATCATCATCATCATCATCATCATCATCATCATCATCATCATTAACATCGTTGTCGTCGTCGTCTTCGTAGTCGTCGTTGATCCTTCATTCATTTCACCTCATCTTTGCTATTGTCTTCTTCACCACTATCATAATTATCCTCAAAATCATTGGTGTAGCTGTCGTCTCCTCTGGTTCTTCCAATTCTCTTTCCCTTTTTTGTCCATTTATTTGATTGTTTCCTCCTGTGGATCCCTAGCTTCCCGTATGTTTGATTAAGTTCTCAACGAACACTGAAATATATGTACAACTCTCTTGTTTCTGTCGTAGAAGCTTCTCAATGTCTTCTCTTGTTTTCGCATGTCTCATGTTGTCAATTTAATGTCATGCCCACCCTTTCCACACCTGCAATCTCAACCCCCATCACTGAAACTCAACCTTCCCACTCCCCAAATCTCAGCCTCTACACCCCCACCCCATCTCAACCGTACCGCCTGAATCCTCTCGTCTTAACCCCCCCCCCACCTGTTGGTTTTTTTTCATCTCACCCCATCAAACGTCTCACATCGTATCCACTTTGTTATTTCCTGTAAGCGTGTCATTAATTATTCTGAAGTTTTGTCTTTTTTAGAGCCTTGCCCTTGACCCCAAACTACTGCCCTGCAATGCCAGGCTGTTTCTCCGACTGATGATCCGTGGCGACCACAGACAGATCATCGTGTATTAACATGACCCTCTCTCCTCCCACAGACGTAAATTATTTAAATTTAAACCATTTTTAAATACAGTAGACAGCGCACAATGACACCATCGACATGGCAGAAGTAAAGTATAACCCCCCATGTCTTCACGAGTCGTGACCATCACACCCTACTGATTTCTGTTCATAACTGCAACCCCACAGTGACCCCGGGAATTGTGCACTGAATCAAACAATTCCTAATAATGGGGGATTATGCTTTACTTTTGCCCCAAGATTTATAGGTACAAAGAAAAAGCAAAGCCTGTTTTCAAAAAAGAGGATCATCTGCATGGGGTCTAGCATGCGACCATCGCTGCTGCCGCCGCTGCGACTGCAAAGCTCTGTCCTTGACCGTGCTGTGACCTTGACCTACTTTCAGCGTGTCAGTGTAACCTCCACGCCCGGAAGTGCCGTTTCAACATGGGTCTGTACGAGTTGTCCGGCCGGAAGAGCGGGGGTGTCTGCCTGAACTGCCGGCACAACACCAAGGGACGCAACTGCAACTACTGCTCGGTGGGATACTATCGGGACCGGAGCAAGGACATCAAGCACAGGAAGGCCTGTAAAGGTGACGTTTGCGCATGATCGGATCCTCTGCCTTGTTGCAGCCGCTGCTGCTGTGTGGCGTGGCGCACTGTAACCTTGAAGCGCGGTCTGCATAGCTCAGAGTATGCCTCGTCTCAACGCCTGCGCTCGCTGTTTTACTCAACGTGCTGCATTTAGTGTCACCCGTGACCTCCGACCTTTACCCTCTCCCTCATCCCATGTACCCCAACTAATACATGTATCGTATTTTATCAGAATGCATATAACGTGTCCAACCCCTCGCTGAACCCAATATATTCACCCTTTGACAAAGTATACATATCAGATCGCGATAATATCTTTTTCAGGCCATTCGGTGGATTTCAAGACGAGCATTTCTTCTTCGATGTGACCACATTGATTTGCATGTTTGGTGTTTTTTTTCTTTGTTTTTTTTTCTTGAGGGGAGGGAGGGTTCTTTTTTATATTGCCCTTTGTGTTTCACAAATGGGTACAGTCTGTTGCATGAGGTTTCCTTTAACACATACTCCTCCTATTAATAACATATTGGTGTCTTTTTGTGCATATTTATACAGTACAGGCCAGTGCTATAGTGGTTCATCATTACTCCACTTTACAGCATGGTTTGTTCTGGCTGAGGAAAGAGCTGTCAGGGTGATCGGGTTATTGTGATTTGGGCAGGAGGGGGGGGGGGAACAAGTTTAACCAATATAGACTAGTATTAATATGTAAAGATAGTTAATAAAACAAAATACGTTTCTGTCATTTACCGTGTGATAATGCCAGATAGTTATCTGAACTACCAGCCTACTTTTAACCGCTTTTAGAATATTGATAAACACATCTAGAGCAACAAGAACAATATATAATAATAATCTTGCACTTAATGCAGTTTTGGCATCAGTTACTTGCTTTTTCATAAGACCTACCTCGCCTTAGTGTATTATTGTTTCAATCGTGACGCCCTGACAGCTCAAGACTCTACCCCCCCGCCCATCTCCACACCCTCCCTCCTTGTACCCTCCCCCTTTCCCCTGGGCTTGCCCTAACAGCATGAGACTTGCACGACATCTTCCTGTCCTCTTGCAGCTTGCAACTGCAACTTGCATGCCCGCCGCTGCCGCTTCAACTATCAGCTCTTCCAAATGTCAGGCATGCGCAGTGGGGGCGTGTGCATGAACTGTAAGCACAACACGGCAGGGCGCTACTGCCAGTACTGTAAGGAGGGCTATTACCGCGACGCCAGCCGCAAGATCACGGACAGGAGGGCCTGCAGAGGTAGGACATATACCCCTCTCTCCTTCCCCACCCCCTCTCTTCTGCGTACGCACTGTCTGTATTTGTCTACACACGTCCAATTTATTACAAAAGAACTACAACAAACCACAGGAGCCATTGTGAAAGGACAGCAGTGCAGTATGAGTTGTTGTTGTGCATATTGAATCGGGAATTTGTTGAATGACGCGATGGGTTTTTGTTGAAACGGGATGCCAGAGTAAACAAGCGACGCGGCCGGCTCGATATCTGGCTTTCAGATTCGCTGCTGTCAGTTTTTCGCACTCTGGTGTTCACAAACACGAGTCTCAGTCGGGTTCTTTTTTGTAGCATACTAGTAGCACACGTCGTTCTCTGTCGTCTATTAGTTAGTGGCTAGCTACTTTATTGTAAGATCTACAATGAAGTGTTGCTGGTGGTGTTGTTGTTTCTGTTGCGTGGTTGCTACCGCCGGTGTAGGTGGGTGTCGTTGTAGTCGCTGTAGTTGTTGTTATAAATGCTGGTGGTGGTGGTGGTGGTGGTTGTGAT